CACACACACACACACACACACACACACACACACACAGAGAGAGAGAGAGAGAGAGAGAGAGAGAGAGAGAGAGAGAGAGAGAGAACAGTAGAAAGGGGGACTAGTTGAGAAGAGAAGGGATTGAGAGGAGTCGGGGGGATAAGTAAAGTTAATGGAGTGAATAAAATGCACACGTGTGGAAGTGTCACCATGAAACCCATTGTCACGTATAATTAGTACATGCTGACAGGACAAAAGCAAACAGTTCTTTGATACACGTGTAATTTGACCAACTATTACAGGTGCCAGCAAGTTCACATCTTCCTGGTATGGATATGCCTATTTTTACATAAAGAATTAAACCTTGGTTAAATGTTTGATACGGCAGGGACACAGGGTACCTCCATTGCATTTCAGAGATGACTGACATTTTGATTTTAGAATCATCAGTGATGGGAGTGAACACGGCTCCACACAGATCCACAGTGTAAGACGGGCAGAGGCATGTTTAGGGACATTTCAGAAAATTTTAGAAATTCTGTTCTAATCTCAAGTCAAATTATAGCAATTTTAAAAGTGAAATTCAAGTTAGTAACTCAAACAGTTTTTTGAAATCAAACATTTGGGCCCAGAGGTGGCTCAGTGGTTAATTGTGCATACTGCTCTTGCAGAGGACCCAAGTGGGGTTCTCAGTATCATATTGCAGCTCCCAGTTGCTGGAAACTCCAGTTTAAAGAATCCAAGGCCTTCCTCTGGCCTCTGGGGGCACCTGCACTCACATGCACATCACCCCTCCCCCAAAATACACAAACACACAAACACACACCCACACAGGATTAAAAGTAAATCTTCAGAAAATTGCAACAAAGTATTCTAATACAACACAATCAAAAGCTACAGTGCTTTGACGCTCATGTCTGAAGAATACAATAGGGAAATATTAGAAGTTTTTATTTTGGGGCCTGGAGAGATAGCTCAGCAGTTAAGAGCACAGGCTGCCCATGCAGAGGACCAGGGATGTGAATCCTGGCACCCACATGGCAGCCTACAACCATCTGTAACTCCAGTTCTAGGAGCTCCAACACCCTCTTATGGCCTCTTCAGGCACTGCATACACAGAATACGCAGACACACGTGCAGACAAAACATTTATCCATCCATTAAAAAAAAATCCTTTCCATAGTTAAAACACAGTTTCTGTAATAACAGAAAACTATACGTGCTGTAAACAATGCAGTTCATCATGTACAACAGTCTCGAATTTGAGCGGAGGCATTGCAGGCTGCGGGCATGGTATGGCAGCATGCACAGTTCAGAGGGCACATGCAGTGTGTTTGCAACCGAGGGCGCAGTGAAGTTGTGTGATACAGCACAGGCATGCACTGTCAGAGGCACCTCTGCTTTCTTACTCGTTTGATTTTGGATTAATGCAGTCGTCCTTGCACATGCAGAAGCCTGTTACTGTTGCCAGCCCGTTTGTCAGCTTCCACACTCACGTATGTGACACCCCACATTTTAAGAGGATACAATCTGGACAATGCTCAGCCTAGCCTCACATGGCTTCAGGTGGCCAAGATGCCCTGAAGCAGGAGGGAAGAGTTTGGGCAGTGTTAGCTGTGGGTGGACATGGACCCAGGGCTCTTTCCCAGGAACACGATGACCGCCATCTCCCTCCTCTGCAGCTCCCATGGAGGGGGGGTCCCCACACCTTTTCATTCCTCCAGGCTTCCTGCCCACAACCCACAACCAGTGCTGTCACTCTTCAATCTGTATCACCCCAACTTGTCCCAGGCTCTCACCAACCTCCTGCCTCTGGATCCCTTCCCCGACTCTGTCCGGAAGCGTGCAGAAGGTACCCGTTAGCACACTCTGAAATCCTGTGGCCATCTGGCTGTTCATTTGTCTCTGGGAACCAGGTTCTAATGTCCAGCAGGCGGGGTCTGGGCTCTGGGTTCTGAGGCTAGGCGGCACCCGGGAAGGTACCCAGAGCTGAGTCCTGTCCAGCCTGGCACCAGCGGACATTGCTCAGGGCCACTGTGTTGCAATCCCTCTTGGCCACTGACCCATTTTTCTGGCAATTGTAGATTTTTTCAGCTATGTTTTTTCCCTCCTAAATAGCCAATCTGGAAAAAGGGACTGGAACACGAAGGAAGCTGCTGGCTCCACTTGCTGCCCCATGTGCCCGAGTGACGTGTCTCCCACCCCAGTGGCACCCTTCCCACCCCAGTGATACCCCCCCCAGCCCTGGCCCTCCCTCTCGGGGCTCAGTGTCCTATCCTTCTACCTGCAGCTTCCTGTCCTCACTCCTGCTCTTGACCCAGGACTCCCTCCTCCACGCTGGCGCCCACTCCAGTGTCCCAGGATCGGTTCCGGGCAGGACTGCCGGCCTGGCCTGGCTGATTCCTTTGTCTTAGTCTCTACCCACTGACTTCTGTCCCCTCCACCCCCAGAGCTGTCCCCAGCGTCAGGACGAGATCAACATTTCCTGATTTCTCACAAGTGCCAGCTCAGGATGGTGTTAGGGGACACCTCTCTCCAGCCTGGGTCTCCCTTCTAGTCAGCCCTACCCAAGAGCTCAGAGGAGAGACCGGGAAAGGGCAGGACTGGCTCTCAGAGCTGAGCCCATGTGTTCCACACCTTCAAACTGCCGCTGGCTCCCAGGGAGGGGCAGCCTGCCCGCGGTTGTGATTCCTTCCAGGGGCATGCTCCTGATTGTCTCAGCCTCTCTCTGCCCTGGATGCCTGCTGCAGACTTCGGTCTTCTCATCACCAACGCCCACTCTGGGTATCAGCGCCCTTGGGCTCAGAAAGGTCGAGAGATGGGCCAGAAGTCACAGAGCTGGAATGAACAGGCACCAGCTCCATGGGGCCTTTTGTGAAGGAGGCTGCAGTGGGTATGGACTCCAGCCTGTGTCCCACGTGGGAGGTCTGAAACAGACTCTCCAGTGAAAGGCTGTCTCTATCAAGGTCCCCCTCACCAGACAATCTCCTCTGGTCATCCCACTCTATCATAGAGAATGATGGATGACTGAAGGGGTCCTTGGGCTCAACTCCAGTTTCAGTAATGGGGAAACTGAGGCACAGATAGAAGTGGGTGTCAGAAGAGATTATGGGGATGGGGTTTAGATCTCTTTGGCAACCAACCTCTTTTCTTGGGCAGTGGGAGGCTCTGGCTCTTAATGATCAGAAGATCCTGGACTTAGAAGGCCAAGGGGAGGATCAGGGCTGGATGTAGCAAGGACAGGTAGCCCGGGTCCCCACAGCTTTCTGTGACTAGGGTACTATGTGGCTTATAGAAGGGGCGTGGTCATATTGATCCATGGCACTGTAGTGGGGTGCTCTAGACTGGGGTAGAGGCCGCAGGTGCTTCCTTCCCTTGGGTCCTGGCCTCACGCTCACACTCTGTCCCACCATGAGATGTATGACTACGGGCCCAGCATGCTTTGGAATAAGGGGAACACAGAAGGAACAAGCTAGACTGGGACTTCATTGGTTTTCAGCAGTGACACCGTTTCATATGCTCAGCCATAGTTTAAAAGATGGACACAATTTGCGTGCCCTGTGTAGATGGCACTTCAGAGGATGCCATGGAAGGCCCTGTGTTACCACTGGCCTGGCCTGTGTGCCGAGGGCTGCAGGAGCCAGGTCTGTGAATTCCACAGCCTTCCCTAGTCAGCCACAGGTCCCTGACCCTGCCTGCCCAGCAGTCCCACCATACCCAATTCCCACAGGAGACACATCCAGGCCACCATCCTGGCATCTCTTCATGTGGGGGGTGGGTGGCAAAATGAGCTCTGAGGCACCCTGGTCCTCATGTCCACAGGCTTAGGCTGGCCATATGGGTCACCTGGCCACGCTCCCTAGGGGGCAAACTATTTCTCCAGGCACTACTGGATGCTTGGCTCAGCCCTGGCTTTGTTCCAAGGATCCGTGAAACACTCAGAGACCTGGTACCCATCCTAGGGACCCTTTTCTCTCACTGGGTGTCTCCTCCTTGGGAGTTTTAGGGGTGAAACCAGGGGAGGCCTGTTTAGCCAGCCCGCCTTCTGTTCTAACCCTTGGAGTAAACAGGAACATTAAATCACTACTTGGGGGTCAGGAAACTGGAAATAATCAAAACATAGTGTCCTGTCCTCTGCCTGGGCACTGGGCCGCCTGTCACCGACCCAGCTCTGCTGCCTGGGGCTTTCCCAGCTCCGCCTCCGTCCGGGTGCTGACCCTGCTGTGCCTGGGTGTCCACAATGGCCACGATTTGGGCTACACTTAGTGAGACAGAAGCCACCCCCACCTGAGCTTGGGTGCTACTCAGCAGTGGATAGCACCCAAGGCTGGCTTTGCACTATATGACCCCTAAGGCGCCTTCCCCATCAGCCTCAAGCCCCCTGGGGAAAAGATAGGGACTGGAGGACCCAGGAGGTGCCCAGGTCCTGGAATTCACTAATTTGCCTTCCCTCTGCTTCTGGGACTGGCTCTGTGCAAGGGACCCGTCCCTCCTATCTTGTCTTCATCACGGACTCAGGGTCAAGGAGGTGGGGGAGGGGCATCCCACCACAGGACATGGTGAGTCACAAATACCCCCTGATTGATCTTTTTTCTGATATATACTGTGAAGACTTGCAAGTCTCCCAGTAGTCTCCGATGGCCACTCTTCCCACAGGGGAAACTGAGGCTTTCTGAGAGTGAGTGTCTGTGAGGCTTACTCTTACATTCTTTCAAGAGCCCAGGCTGGTTTCAAAGGGTTAGCTCTTCTCCATTAAAGTAGTCATGGGAGAAGGACCTGAGAGGTTACCTGGGCTACATCAGACCCTTCTCTGGGCCTCTCCCTCCCTTTTCCTCTACCACAGCTTCTTTCCTTTTCTTTCTTCCTTCCTTCCTTCCTTCCTTCCTTCCTTCCTTCCTTCCTTCCTTCCTTCCTTCCTTCCTTCCTTTCTTCCTCCTTCCCTCCCTCCCTCTCTCCCTCCCTTCCTCCCTCCCTCCCTCCTTCCTTTCTTTTTAAAAAATGTCCATTAGTGTTTTGCCATGGAAAGTTTAGGGTCCTCTGAAACTGGAGTTAGAGACAGTTGTGAGCTGCCATATGGTTGCTGGGAGTTGAACCCAGATCTCTGGAAGAACAGCGCTCTTAATCACTGAGCTATCTCTACAGCTCTTTCTTCCTTTCCCTTCCTTCCTTCCTTCCTTCCTTCCTTCCTTCCTTCCTTCCTTCCTTCCTTCCTTCCTTCCTTCCTTCCTTCCTTCCTCCCTCCCT